TCAGCTGGGATCAAACTTGGAGATGGAACTAAAATGATTTTTTATATGTAGGGCAGCAGAAAAGAAGGAGTGAAACAGTAAAATACTGACATTTTACCCCATCACCAAATTTTTACCTCAGATTTACTCAAAGCAAAGAAGTTACACCATCATAAAACAATATCTCTATGAGACACAAACAAGCATAAAACCTTCATAAAACACAAGAGGCCTTTTTGGTGTAAAATCAGGATTTGCTCACACAGTATTTGGGGGTGAGTGGTGCAGACAGGTGAACTCTTTACCTTCTCCCTTGAAGATGACAGTCCTCCTGCCCCTCTCCCAGCTCATGTTCTCAAAGCCCAGCAGGGTGATGTCCACGCGCAGCTTGGCCCGGCTCTTCCAGATGCGGCACACGTCGCTCGGGCACACCCTGGAAACCAGGGGCACTGCCACAGAGGGAGAAATGGGGAAATGGGGAAATGGAAAGGGAAAATGAGCAAAGGTGCAGCACAGAGGGAATGAACTCCAGCCCAGGATTGCTCACTCCAGAGGAAGGGAGATACTGATCCTCTTTAGATTTAAGAACAACCAGCTTAGCATAAAAGTAGCGTAATTTAAAGATGAATGTGAAAAGGAGGAAGGTATTTGTTCAGACTGAAGGGTGTGAAATGGCATAAACCCCATGCCTGGCAGTCTAATAGTTTGATATTTGAAATATTCAGTCAGCTGTGAGGCCTAGTGTTCATTCTTTTCAAGGAAAAGCAGGTACTTCCCAAACAACCAGTGCATCCATAGATAACACATGATCACATGGCCAAGGACAGGTAAAAAAAAACCCAAGAAAAGTCCTCAGCAACTGCAACAACAGCTAAATTCTCCACTACCAAAAACTAACCAACCAACCACACAGGAAACAAAGAATAATTGTGCAACAAAAGCATAAGAGGTCATTTAGAGATGGAGGAGAGGAGGATTCCGTGGAGTGGATATTTCCCTGCCTGTGTTGTGGGACTTTTGTAACTCATTTTTACAGCTTGGAACCGGTAACAAGGAGCAGGATTCTTACCCCAGCTGGTGAACTCCCATTTCATTTCCACATAAAAGTCAGGAGTCTGCAGAAGGAAAACATCAGATGAGTACCTCATGGAATAGTTTGACATTCATTGCAGCATTTCCTGTGAACATTTTAGAAAAAGGAAAAAAAAAAAAAAGGAGAGCAGAACTGGAGAAATGATTAGCAAATGCTAAAACTGAAATTGAAAGTAGCAACAGCAGGCACTGCCCTGCCCCTGCTGCTTTCTGGGGAGCTGTTCTTCCTCGTTCTACTGGAGTGGCAGTAATGCCTTCAACATTCAGCCTCCAATGTTTGAGCACATGCAAAGGATTTAAAAAAAGCCAAGAAAAAGCCTCTGTATCCCTCAACACTATGGAATATGCAGGTTGGAACAAAACACAATTGCCCAGCTGATTGCAATAGTTCACTTAACTGAACAACTTGAATGAGAATTCAAGCAGTGATTTGAGTCTGGAGTGAGAGTTTACAATAAATAATTACCTCATTAATTTTCTGCAGTAACTCAGGAACTCCTCCAAGGGTCATGGAGGTCTGCTGGTAATCCCGATGCTGCAGGATCAGCTGCACCATCTCTGGATCCCCTGTGCTCACAGCCTCGTGCAAAACTGAAAGAAACCCAACCACAGCCTTGTGTCACTTTGCTGCCCAAAACTCCCCATAAAAACACAGAACATCTGCTGCTTATAGAAAAGCACCCCAGGTTGTTCCCCAGGCTGTCCTTACCCGTCCATCCCTGTGCATTCTCCTTGGTCACATCCGCCTTGTGCTGCAGGAGGACCTTGGCAGACTCGATGTAACCCAAGGAAACAGCCAAGTGCAGCAAGGTCCTGCCCCGAGGGTCCCGCTGGTCAACGTCCTGCCAGTGCCCAGGAGAGAGGAACAGAGCTCATCAGAGCCTGCACAGACACAGGGCTGACCCAGGAGCCAGCATTCCCTGCCATTCCCATGGATCTGCTCCCAAACTCTCCTGCACTGCCCCTCTGCAAGGCTGGCTTGCTTCCCCACAGAAATAAAAGGAGAAGCAGAACAGGGCCTAGGAAATGACACAAAATCTGGAGGACAGGAGTTCTTGCTGGTGCTTTTCAATTCTCTTTCTGTCTCCCCCCAGAAGGCTCAGGAGGAGATGGGGGCTCTCATCCGTGTGCATCACCCCACAGACAGCCTGAGACCCCACAGAGGGGTTAAACTGTACAACAAAACGGGGAGAAAACAGGAAAAAAAAGACAACAGGGCACACAACACAGCTTTTGGACAGCACTTTTGGAAAGGACGGAAGCAGATGGTGTTTCACAAAGCACACACAGCACAATGAGGAGTGAGGGCATTCTCTACAAGTCACTGAAAATAAAAAATAAACTACACAGGCACAAATATCCAAAACATGCAAGCACAACATACTCATACCTTACACATTTTTCACTATTAGCTTAGAGATTTGAAACAGAAGAGCATCTACAACTAAAGGAAAAGGGGAAAGTCAATAGCAGAATGAGAAAGGAAGGTTATTATGCACGTTAACAGCGTTATCTGACAGCTTCAAGTCAGAAATATCTCACAGAGAGTGGGAAAGCTTCTCTTTAAAGCATCTTCTGGGGTGGAACATTAATTAATTTGCTCCTCCACCTCATGCAGCTCCAAAGAGCTCCAAGGGTCCCTCCCCACTGAGTTTGTTGCTGTTTCCTGGTCCCCACATGCCCAACCCCGTTTGCCACCCCAGCTGCAGCTGGGACATGCCTTTGATCCCTCCCCGCAGCAGGAAGCTCATCCCAAAGAAGCAGGGGGAAAAAGATCTTTGGAATACTTAAAAAAAAAAGGAATAAAAAGGTGTTTAAAAGCAGGTAAAGGAAGTAAGAGACACATCCATCTTCACACACTGCTGGTTTCCACAGGGGATGGAGGGAGGAAGCAGCACTCCACAGGTGGGAGCTGCTGAGTGATCCCTGTTTAACCACAAGCTCTCACAGGTGTCAGAAATAAACACACAGCAACGTGCCAGTGAGGTTAAAGGTTTTGGTTAATGCAGAAGGTGACATGAATTAGATAAAAAGTGAGTGCATTCCAAAGATTCTCCCAAACCAGGGCAGGAACATGCTCTGAGCAGGAATTAGTAAGTCAGGTGCACCGTTAGAGCTGCAGGTGACAGTCAGGAGGTGGCACAGCTGGGCTGGGCTCACGTACTTGTGGTGTCAGGTATGATTAATTAATCAGCTCTGCTTATTAACTGTACCTCACTCTAGCCCATGTCCGAGCTTTTCCACAGCAGCTCAGCCAGAAGGATTTTTGCTGCTCGAGCTCTGCTGCAGCTTTCAGGCCATTTCCTTACGTCATCGTGTCCCAGAGAGGGGACAGCTTTGTGTTTTCTACTCTCCAGCACGGAACAATGATCCATTTTTATTTTTTTTTTAACCAGAGATGCTGAAAACATTCCAACCAATATAAAAACTCTGCCCTCAGTCTTGGGCAGCAACAAATCTATAGGATGGTGCTCAGCAAGGTGGGGGCTGGTTTGATGTCCAGCAGCACCAGCCACTTTTGCTGCACATTGACTTCCCGTTAAGATAAACACTATTTATTGCTTTAATAAATAAATTAACGTCCACCACAGCCGCTCTTCTTTAGCTACTCCACAGCTGCACTGGAATGCTCACAGCAAAGCTTTACAGATAGGAAGCCAACAGATAGGATATGTTAGTACCTGAAATAAAAATATATTCCTACATCTTTTTACATCACTCCCACACCACAAATAAACAGGTAACGAAATGCAGTGATCCCTCAAGCTCCTGGCAGCACCACCAGGGTGCTTTTCCCTGGCACAGCGAGGGCCAGCAGCCCCCAGCCCCCTTTACCTGCTCCTGCAGCTCCTCGTCCAGCCGCCTGTAGTCGTTGTTCCACACCAGGACGTGCAGGGGGAAGGCGCTGCTGGCCCCGCCAGGGGAGCTCATCCCGGCACGCACCTGCGGAGGGGCAGCCGGGGCCCCTCACTCTTCCCTCTCTGGGTGCTGCAGACCGCAGGTTACTCAAGCCTTGACCCCTTCAGCTTCTGCTCTCTGCTGGCACCCACCTGGCCCAGGTGTGTGTGTGTGTGAGAGCCACAACCCCTTAGGAACCGTTCACCCCTCTCCAAGGGGAGCCCCATGCAAACCCCACCGCGGGGGTCTCCGCTACTCCCGAGGGTTTCCTCCCGGAGCCCCTCAGCGCCGCTCCCGAGGGTCTCCCCTGCTCCTGGTGCTCCTGGCAGCGCCTCACTGCCGAGGGTTTCCTCCCGGAGCCCCTCAGCGTTGTTCCCGGGGGTCTCCTCCCGGAGCCCCTCAGCGCCTCTCCCGGGGGTCTCTCCTGCTCCTGGTGCCCCTGGCAGCCCCCCTCTCCCGAGGGTTTCCTCCCAGAGCCCCCTCAGCGCCGCTCCGGGGGGTCTCTCCGCTCTCGCCCCCTCAGCCGTCCCCGTCCCTCTTCCCTGTCCCTCCGGGGACGGCTGGGACGAACCACAGCGCGGCCGGAGCAGGTGGGGACTCCTCGCTGACCTCGCACTCCACCGCCACCGACAACCGCACGGAAAGCGGAAGCCGCTCCTCCTCCCCCTCTGCGGACGGACAGATGGAACGTCCCGCCCGCAGCTGTCCCATTGCCTTCCGCGCGGGGGGAGCGCTCAGCTCTCACCCCGCCTTCTCCCGGCCTTGGTTTCGCTCGCCCGCCCGCCATGGCGGGTGAGGGCAGAGCTTGCTGCACAGCGGCATCCTCCAGCAGGCTTACGGAGCCCCGTCTCTCCCGTTACCCCCCTGACAGAGCGCAACGGGCGGGCAGCTGCACCCCTGAGCGGGAGCGCTCAGTGCTGTCCCGTTGAACCGGAGCTCAGTTGAAATCAGGCCGGTGCCAGGAGTAAAGATGGCGGCACGGGCGACATGCGGAGCGGCACAGGGCGGCTCGGAGCGCATGCGCGGGGGCCGGCCCGGCTCTGGCGGGGCCCGTTACCGGCCCCGCTGCCGCCGCTGCCGCCGGTCCCGCGATGGCGAAGCGCCTGAGGAGCAGCGAGGTGTGCGCCGACTGCAGCGCTCAGGGTAGGCACGGCACCGCCACCGGCACCGCCAGAGCTCGTCCCGCCGACCCCTCTCGGGCCGGGGACCGCGGGGGCGCCGCTGGCCCGGGGGTGTCACCGGCCCGGAACGGCCGTCGCTGCACCTGTGAGGGAGCGGGAGGGTTCGGGTGGGAAGGGACCCAAAGCCCGTGGGCAGGACAGGTTCCAGCAGCGTGGCATGGGACACTCGCAGGGCTGGGATAGAACTCCGGCTCCGAGCGTCCGGGTCCCGCCGCCCCTCCCGAGCCCGGGGCACGCAGAGCTCCGGGATATCCTGGAGATCTCCGGTGTGGAGGAACGCGGAGATCTCCAGCTTGGGAAGGAGGAAAGCTGACAGAAATGCACCGGCTGAAAGGTGGGAGGAGGGCGTGGGTCGGGAATGTGTCACTGGAAGGACAGGGCTGCTTTGGGGGAACGGGCTGGGCTCGGAGCTCCTCATCCATTCCCTCCTCATCCATTCCCTCCTCATCTTCCCAGGTGAGCCGGGACTTGTCCCACGGCCCGACACGGGTGTAGGTGTCCCAGACTGCCAAGGGAAGTTGTGCTGAGGTGTCTGAGACGCTCAGTGTCTGCTCTGGGCTGACACATATCCCACTCAGATCAGTTTGAGAGTGTGTGGAAACAGATCTTGTCTTTTAAAAGGCTGTTGCATCTCCTGACCATCTGTAGCTCTGCTGCTCTTGTATCTAAAACTATCCTGGTTTATTTCATCAGCTCTGTATATTTTCTCTCTCTCTAATTTTTGCTGGTTTTGTTCTGGGCACGTTCTTCCAAGGCAATTAATTAATTATGCACGTACTGAAATGAATTAAAACACTAGTGTAATAATACATTATTATTACATGTGTCATGTAGATGTCTGTGTAATGTAGATAACACTTGAATTGGCAGAAGATAGGATGTGGGAGAAGGATGAACAACTCTTGTTAAATCTGAGTTATGTTTAAAAAAATGGTAAAAATTCCAAATTGATTTCCAGGAAGTTACTTTCTTCTTTCTACAGAAGGAATTCTTCCCTGACAGGGTAGTGAGGACCTGGCACAGGTTGCCCAGAGAAGGTTGTCCCATCCCTAGAAGTGTCCAAGACCGGATTGGATGGAGCTTGAAATAATGGATGGTGTCCCTGCCCATGATAGGGGTTAGAACTGGGTGAGCTTCAAGCTCCCTCCAACCCAAACCAGTCTGGGATTCTGGGATCCTACTTGAACCCCTGTAGAAATTTAGTTTTACGCTCAATGGAGCTGGCATCTCTCAGGCAGGCAATTTTCCCTATCACACAAGGCAGCCTATCTGTGCTTGCACACCTCAGGGGTGTTGTGGCTCGCAGATAAACCTGTGTGAATTGTGTTCCTTAAGCTCCTGGGGGTATCAGAATCACTGTCTGGTAATCCTGTAACCCTGACTTTTATTGTGACATTAGAGCACTGCCATCTCTTTACTTATTTACTAGAAATCTATGGCTTATCCACATATAGAGAGAAATCTTTACTTATTTACAAGAAATCTGCTGGTTTATCCACATATAGAAAGAAGTCTTTACTTATTTACTAGAAACCTATGGCTTATCCACATATATATATAAATCTTTACTTATTTACTAGGAATCTGCTGGCTTATCCACATATGTAAATAAATCTTTACTTATTTACAAGAAATCTGCTGGCTTATCCACATATAGAAAGAAAACTTAATTTAATCTTTTTGTAAATAAAGCAAATCAACCCCTTCCTTTAGCTAAACCAGAGAATTTTTCGCTGGGTGCAGGGGGGCTGTGTCAGGAGACCTGGGGGCTGCACCAGGGTGGGTGTGCCCAGCACCTGCATTAATTATTGCTTCCCCTGGGAGCTCCTCAATGCCCCCTTTGTCTCTGCAGAGTGAGGAGGGTTTTCTGTGACTGGGGGTGATCTTAGAGCAGCTCTTGTGCTGCACTTCCTATCCCGAGGCAGGAGCTCGGCTCTCAGAGCCAGGGCCGGGTTTGTCTCCATCTCACACTTCCTGTTTTGAACCACCCTGCAGGTTCCTGAAAGAAACCAGCCCAGCCCTGCAGCTTCTCCCCCAATTGTCCTTTGTGTCAAAAGCAGCGTGGGCAGCAGGGCCAGGCTGGGACCAGCCCTGAGCTGGACACTGAGGGTTGCTTTGAGTTGCTTTGTCCAGCTCTGGGCCCCTCACTCCAGGCAGACATAGAGGGGCTGGAGTGTATCCAGGCAAGGGAATGGAGCTGGGAAGGGGCTGGAGCAGCTGAAGGAGCTGGAAAGGAGCTCAACCTGTGGAAAAGGAGGCTCAGGTGGAACCTTGTGGCTCTGCACAACTCCCTGAGAGGAGGGGACAGCCAGGGAGGGGTCAGGCTCTGCTCCCAGGGAACAGGGACAGGAGAGAGGAAACTGCATCAAACTGTGCCAGGGGAGCATCAGGTTGGACACCAGGAGGAATTTCCTCATGGAAAGGGTGCTCAGGGCTTGCTCAAGGAAGTTTGGATTCCCCATCCCTGGAGGTGTCCAAGGAATTCCTGGATGTGGCACTCAGTGCTCTGGGCTGCTGACAAGGTTGGGCTCAGTCTTGGAGGTCTTTTCCAACCTCAGTGATTGTGGGATTCTGTGTATTTTGGTTAAACATATTCTGATCGAGCCCATAATTAGACCTCTCTTAAAAATGACTCCAATTCCAGGACAGACACTTCATTGCATTAAATTTAAACCTGAAACATCCAGGGGCATTGGGTGTTGAGGTGGAGATAAAGAAACCCCCCAGTGCTGATTGTTGATAATGCAGAGAAATGCTCACAAACAGCCTGGGAATGGGCAAGGGAAAGGATCCCTAAGGATCCCATCCATGTGTGATGGGTTTGTCTCTAACAAGAAGGGACCAGGCTCATTAATCTGGAAGGCTGCCTCAGTTTGGGTCATTAGCTTGCCATGAATGAATCTTCACTCCATTGCTGTTCTTTTTCTTCTTGGAAATCAAAATTGTTAAATAATGGAACAATTTTACATTTTTTGTAATTTGTTGTTTAACAAATTGATTATTTTTTTGTCTCACCTGCTTTAATTTGGCTCTGGGCTGGTTCTGGTGGGTCAGGAGATGCTGCTGACCCTCCTGGCTCAGACAGGTTTGCCTGCAGCACACCCAGATCACCAACTCTGCTCAGAAACCTGAGCAATCACATCTCATCTGCAGGGATTCAGTCCATTTGTGTGGGTCAGAGGAGACTTCTCCATGTGATGCACCAGTGCTCAGATGTGTTCTGACAGGACTCAGAAGTTCTCTCATCAGATACCAGGCAGCCTTGTGCTCGCTTATTTGGCCTCAGACTCATCTCTGCATTTGAAATTAAAATTTTTCCAAAATAAAAGAGGTCTTGATTTCCTTTTTTGTTCTCCTGGGAGGTGCTGGGTCTGAAGCTCTGTCTGGCTGCTCTGTTGCCCGTTCCTGCAGGGTTCTGGCACGTTGAGTTTCACGTGTCACTGACAGAAATTGGAGTTTCTTCTGGAGACTGAGCTCTGAGCAGCTGAGGGACGTGTTTGGTGTCCTGTGGGCATTTATTGTTTTAACCTAATCCACCATTCCTGCTTGATTTTATGCCTTTTGATGTTTGTAGCGCATATATATTATTTACTACTTCACTTCCCATCAGTTTTCTTTCTGGGCTGCTTATAAGATGGTTCAGTTCAGATCTGCTGTGAGATGAAGTTATTTTCCTTGAGAATTTTGGATTTTATTGAGCCTTTGACTTGGCACAGATGTAGCCTTCTTTATTATGACACTCTTGTGTGTTTTTATTATTTAAAGTGGAAATTTAAAAGATGTTGTTATAATATAGAACTGAAAACTGAGTAGTAGGGGGAAAGGCTGAGTGCTGTGGCAACTTTGTGTGTAGATTTTGTGTTTTTAAAAAGTATTTTTTGACAAGTTTTAAAAAAATCCCAAAAAACAGTTTTTTTCAATGAGCAAGTAGGCACTGTTGTTAGGAATACTTCTGTGGGAGTCCACAAATAACAAGTAAAGCACTTCAAGGTGCTGATAAATTCAATGTTTTGTTATGTTTAGAAAGGAAAGTATTTTCACAAGAAGAACTGCAAGCAGTGGGGCTTCTCCCCAAATCTCCACTGCAGATCTTCTCACTGTCCTTAGGATCCCACATCCCCCATGAGTGCCAGGACTGGTGTTTCCCATTTTCCCAGCATCCAGAGCCCAGCAAGGCTGTGACATCCCCAGGCTCACACAGTGGCCAGGCAGGGAAGGTTAAAATGCTCATTTTTGACTCTGCTCTTGCAATCCAAGGCCGTGTTTCTCCCTGTGTTCTAATGGATGGCTTCTTTTGCAGATCCTTGCTGGGCATCCATAAACAGGGGGATCCTGATCTGTGATGAGTGCTGCAGTGTGCACAGGAGCCTGGGCCGGCACATCTCCCAAGTGAGGCATCTCAAACACACCCCGTGGCCTCCAACACTGCTGCAGGTACAGAGGAAAGCTGTTTTTCTTCATTAAAACCAGATTTTTTTAATGCAATTTAAATCACTAAACCTTTTTTTGAGAGGGATGGTCCTTTTAAGCTTTGTTTTTCTAAATTATTCTCATTTTGTTTCTCTTGTTATGATGGACCACAGAATTATCTTTGCATTTTGAATTTGATACCTTTGCTTTGGAAGGTCACTTCAACTTTTCTTTCACTGTACATCTGTGAAAGAAATTCCACTGCACATCTGCTTTAACCTGAATTTTCTTTTCACTGCAGGTGCTGTTGGGAAAAGCTGAGAATTTTAAGGGGGTTCTCACTAAATTCCACATCATAACATCCTAAACACGTGCCCAGTTATGATATCCCAGCAGGTTACAGATGCTGGCACACAGAGTGGGAATCTGTTGCTTGAAAATAATTCCAGATAGTTGATTAATGCATCCAGCAGCAAAATATCTGTGTGTTCTGGCTTTCAGATGGTGGAAACTCTGTACAACAATGGTGCTAACTCCATCTGGGAGCACTCCCTGCTGGACCCTGCCTCTGTGATGAGCGGGCGGCGCAAGGCCAGCCCCCAGGACAAAGTGCAGTAAGTGGGAAATGCAGAATTGTTATCTTACAGAAATGGGATTATTTTATCCAGCAGTGACAGAACAACACCTAGGAACCTCTGTGTGTTTGGCCATTAGTTTTTTCTTTTATTTCCAAGTATTTTTTTTTTAATTTTTAGCAGAAATAGGGATACGGTGCTTGAATTATCTGAATTATTGATTCCCGTTGAGTAGTGAGGAGCTCTGCTTGCACTTCAGTCAAAGGACTTTTAACTGAATGCTGCCAACAAAATGGAGTTTGGTTGAGGAATTAAATAAAAGTTCACAGATTTTTGTCCCTGACTATGGTGCTTCTTTTTAAAATATAAATAACTATGTAGAGTAAGCATAGATTTTAAGTTGGCATGATTTTAAAGTCTGTATTTCTTTTAAGAAACAGACACCACATGCTACAGCCTGCAGATATTTGATGATTGTAACAGACTTTTTCTCTATATAGTCAGACAATCTGCACTGGGTTGTTTTTTAATGAAAATATTTTTCCATGCCTAACTTTGCCATCAGCAACACACAAATCTGATTCAGTCTTCACTTGTGAAATTTTTCTTTTTCTGGAGCTTCTGTATTACTTATGAAAACACTGATATTTCTTTCCTTTCCCTTCTTGTTGCCTGGATTTCTCTGTGCAGTCCCAACAAAGCAGAGTTCATCAGAGCTAAATATCAAATGTTAGCGTTTGTGCATCGCCTGCCGTGCCGGGAGGACGACAGTGTCACTGCCAAGGATCTCAGCAAGGTCAGTGCCTCCTGGGACAGCACAGGCACATCTCGCTCACTTCCCCTGCTGGCTTCTGGCTTAACTGTTTCTGCTTTTCTGCACATAAAGCTTGACTTCAACTTGAAGCTCCTTTTTTGTGGGTATCACTGGAGGTGATGATTGAGAGGCATTAATTGAGATGAACTTGGAGAAAAATTTTTACACAAAAGAGCTGTAGTGAGAACTCTGCATACTGTTATTTCTCAAAGCATGGCTAAAAAACAACTGTAAAATCACTGTTGTTGCTGCTGTGTTAAATATAATTCTGCTTCTTTTTCAGCAACTCCATTCCAGCGTGAGGACAGGGAATCTGGAGACCTGTTTGCGACTGCTCTCCTTAGGAGCTCAAGCCAACTTCTTCCATCCCGTAGGAACACTTTCTTCATTATTTTGATGATATACAATCAATTCCAATTAATATTATTTACACTCATTCGTGTTATATTTCAATCTTCTACTCAGACCTGTTGGTTAAGTAGATATTTTTCCCTAATCTCTTGCAGGAGAAAGGAAACACCCCACTGCACGTTGCTGCTAAGGCAGGACAGACTTTGCAAGCAGAGCTGTTGGCAGTTTATGGTGCTGATCCTGGCACACAAGATTCCAATGGGAAAACTCCAGTTGATTATGCAAGGTAGGAACCTCTGATGCCCATAAATCACACAATGAACCTTCTAAGATATGTTTCTGTCCTGAAATAATTTATCTGCTAAATGCTAATAATACTTTTAACAGAAAGAATGATTGAATAAAAATGAGGAATAAATATTTTCATGAGATGACAGCCTGTGTTCTGTGTGCCTGAGACATCAGCTATGATGCCAATGACACAGGCTGTGCCAATCTAGCAGCTCATAGGAAGTTAATTAGAGAAGAGTTTGTGCAAGTTGAGGCTCCAGGAGTGAGGGTTAGCTCAGGAATTGCTGTAGGAATATCCCAACTGCAGAGATTGGAGCACTGGGCTGTAAATCTGTGATGGGTTGATGCACCAAACAATGCAGTGCTGGCTTGTACTAAATGTGTTTGTGTGACCATTTCTGAGTGTCACTGACTGTCCCCTGTCCCTGTGTGTGAGCAGGCAAGGGGGGCACCACGAGCTGGCAGAGAGGCTGGTGGAGATCCAGTATGAGCTCACAGACAGGTTGGCTTTCTACCTCTGTGGCAGGAAACCAGGTGAGCACCACACTGCACCCTCAGACATGTCATTGTCACTTACAGGACATTCAGGCTGTGCTGTGTCATGTTTGTGCACTGCACTTTTTGTAACCCTTCCAAATATTCAAGCAAAATACACATAACCAAAAAAAGTATAAGATGCGTCATTAGGGATGATGCATTTAAAATTGGGATAAAACTGCAGGGTTTTAAATAGAAACAAATTAAAAACAAAATTCCTTCCTGGTTTTCCACAAATCCATGTTCTTTATATACTGTAGAAACTCTTCCAAGTAGTTTCTTCTAATTGAATTTCAACAGCAAGGGAGTGTTCTGTTAAGTGGGTGCTTTTTGAACACAAGGACACTCACACTCAGATTTTTAACCATAAAGGTACCTGTGTTAGAACTTAATTTTCTTTTTTAATGGAATTTTAATACAACTAATAAGCCTTAATTGAGTAATTAGATGCAAGATAAGTTATTAAATGTTGCCTGATGCTTATGATTGAAAACTGTAGGCCAGTACCAACCTAGTAAAGTGCAATTTGTTTTCAACTCTAGAGCACAAAAATGGGCAGCACTTTGTTATACCTCAGATGGCAGACAGGTGAGTTGCTGATTCCATCATATATCTGAAAACATCAGAGTTAAAAAATCCTAATAATTAAGTTTTCTTTCCTTTCTGAAACACCTTTTAAGCTTGTTGCTATTCTAACTTTTTTTTATGTGTGCCTTTATTACTCTTGAAAGCTCTTTTTTCAAAGAAAGAATATTGGGATATCAAAAAAATCAGAAAATGATAGAAGCTGATTGTATTTCTTAAAATGCAGGGAGAAGGTGAGGCATTTCTGGGAAGGGAAACACATGGGGAGTTCCTAAGAAACAGATTGTGGAAATAATTTAAGGACCAATTGAGTATTTTCCTGATTTTTTAATGCTTTTAACTTTTGGTTGTGATCAATGAAATCAGATTTGTATAAGAAGTATCAAGTGCTAATTTTAAGTTGCTGTTCCTCTTTTCTTGCTGTGCAATTGGAAATAAGACGGCTGTAAGTAAACCACTGTCCAACCTCCTGCTTGCAAAACTTGTGTGAAAAACTTCACTAACTTAAAAATTGTGTGGGTAAAAACCTGTGGGTATTCATATTCCAAAGAATATTTTGTATTATTTCATTTTAAATTTAAAAAGAAAGCTTAATAATTAGCGAATTGTGATGTGATAGTAGCAATATTAATAACATCAGTGTGTTAAAAACAATGCTAAAAATACTGAAATATTAGGGAGGTTAAGGTAAAAGTGGCATTTTAATCACTTAGTTACCAAAATGTAGAATTTGGAGATGTAGAAGCCATGAAATGCTGTAGATGTGATGATCACTTCTTGTTTTCATAGCAGTCTGGATGTATCAGAACTGGCAAAAGCAGCCAAGAAGAAGCTTCAGTCTGTAAGTAAAACTCCTTTTCTAGATGTGGCAAACTCTCATTTCTTAGGCTTCCTAGCACAAGTATCTCTTGACCCATCTGCTGTAGGAGCAGCTTGAAACACACAAATATTTTGTTATCCTTCAATGTTCATTGGAGTTCATTTGGTACCTCATTCCCACAGAGCCTCTGCCTCACCCCAAACACAAAAAGTCTTTTTGTGGTCAGATGGGAGAGGAAAAAATAAATCTATTAACCAGGAAAGGAGGAGTGTAGAACAGGATGGTTGTTTCTGTACCTAGAAATGGGGTGGTCATGCAGGCTGAGAAAGGAGCTTTTCTATGGATTACAGAGGCTGGAGAAAAGAGCAGAGTTGTGCTCTTACATTTTCTCTGTAATTTTCTGTTATTAGAGATCTTACTGGGTTTCGTTTCTTTTCAAACTGTAATTATTCTCCTCTACCCTTAGCTAAGCAACCACTTATTTGAAGAACTTGCCATGGATGTGTATGATGAAGTTGACAGAAGGGAGACAGATGCAGGTGAGTGAGACTTTCTGGAATGAAATAAAACAAGTCTGGATTGTCACTTTACATACAAAATTCCTATCCAAGCACATGTTCTGTTCAAGTGCTTCTGTATTCAGCAATTACTGCTGAGGGGAGTTTCTTTGTCTTGCATTGCCTGAAGGGGATGTTAATTGAAAAAAATCTTGTGTTTTTCACAGAGCAGAGAACCCTCTGGGGAAAAGCTTTCCTCTGAATTGATTGTGTTTGTGTTTGAAATTGCAGTCTTTTATTTGACAAAGAAATACTGTCAAGCAGTACAGGAAGGTTATTCCCTCTTTTCTTTTTTTTTTTCCTCTGGAGCAGTTTGGCTTGCTACTCAGAACCACAGCACACTCGTGACAGAGACCACTGTGGTCCCTTTTCTTCCTGTAAATCCTGAATATTCCTCAACCAGGAATCAGGTATGAAATCTTAATGCTGTAAAAAATAATATAACCACGCAGATAATTAAGTGGGCCTAAGTAATATTGCTTTATTGCATTTTATTGGTGTAGAAGAATTGCATCTGCTTGGAAAGAGGTTAAAATATTTCATATTTCCCCTTTAAATCACACTTTTAGCAGTAAATGTAGTTGAGCAGTCAACTCCAAGTGTGTATTTTAGTTTTTGCTGTTCTTCTGATACAGGATGTACTTTTCTTTCCTCTGCTTTATTCTGTATTTAGGGAAGGCAGAAATTGGCTCGATTTAATGCCCACGAGTTTGCTACACTGGTTATAGACATTTTAAGTGATGCCAAACGAAGACAGCAGGGGAATTCTCTCACTGGTTCCAAAGGTGAGTGAGCTTTTCTTGCCAGCTCCTTTGCAGGCACTTCTTCAATCACTCCCAGAGCCCTTTAGCAGAGCTGAATTATGAGATCTATATATTGTTTTCATATATCTTTTTCCCTCTGGAGACAAAATATGAAAAAAATCTTTTCTAACTTTTAATATTGCCCTATATTTTTCATTTGCATGCTGACATCCATTTATCCAATGTAATCTTTTGGGGTTTTTTTAATTTATATGAATTTTATTAAGCTGCTAAAGGATTCTCACCACTTATTTTAACTTGCCTAAACACTTAGAAGAAATAAAAAGACAAAACCATAATATTTTGAAGTTTTGGACAGTAGTCATTCATTCCTCCTTGGTGGATCTAAATTAAATTTTTTTTCCAAATTATGAACTTCTGTTTCTTCTCCTGACTTAGTGGTATGTGTTTCATGTGTTGATCTGCAGAAAATGTGGAGCTGATCCTGAAATCAATCAGCAATCAGCACAGCAGTGAAAGTCAGGACAATGACCAGCCTGATTATGACAGTGTTGCTTCAGATGAAGATACAGATCTGGAAACAAATGCAGCTAAATCAAACAGGCAGAAGGTAGGATTGAAATAGTGGTACACCCTCAAGTGTTATTCATAAAGGTCATTTGCATAAATTATCAGAAAATTAATATTTTAATTAATTTTGTAATGATGCCTCAGTCTATGAACTTTCTTAAATGTTGTTGCTTAAGGAAATTTTATTGTTAAAAAAAGCCTCTCTAGAAAAGTAATGTGTATGGCTGGAGACAAGGTACAGATTTAATTGCATAGATGAAATAATTGGATCTGCCAAAAAGCTCTAAATCAGTGATTCCATGGTATTTCACAAACATTTACTGCTTCTCACTGGAGAAATACTCACAGCAAAGCAATGGTGTCCAAGTGAGTCAAACCATTCCTGGAATAATGCAGAATGGCATCAAAGGGCAGTAAAACCTGGTGATTCTACTTTAATCTTCCCTGGAAAATCCCACTGGATATTTAGCAGTTTGTCTTTCATAACTTTGCAGTTCTTCCTTGCATGTTTTTAAAAAGCCCTTATAAAACAGTATTTTATCACTGAAATTCTGTTGCAAATGTTTTTAGAGGAGCTAAGAGCTGATTGATTTTCTAGAGGACTTCAAATGATTCTGGTTAATGGCTCTTACTAATTTCAACTTAATTTGAACTGTGATGTCTTTAAAGTAAGTACATGAAAAGCTGTTGAAATCTCATTTTCTTGTTTTTTTCTTAATGGTGTAAGTATTTTTCTCTTCCTTTTTCCTAGAGCTTGGATTCAGACTTGTCAGATGGACCTGTGACAGCCCAGGAATATATGCAGGTTAAAAATGCCTTGGTGGCTTCTGAGGTGAAGATTCAGCAGTTAATGAAAGTGAACATCAACCTGAGTGATGAGCTGAGGATTATGCAGAAAAAGGTAACAGAGGAACCCCTCCCTCCAGCTCTTGGGGTATCTGAAATTGTCAGAATAAAACTGCTGGAAATGAGGATGAAATAATCCAGTATTAGGATAGTGAGAAATCTCATTTTGAAGTGGAGCTGCAGACACAAGACTATAAATATTTATGTGCAACACATACTTTAAATTTTGGTTTTTTGTGGTGCTGGTGGTGACCCAGCCCTGCAAATCAGGAGGATGATTTGACTTAGGTCAAAACTTTAGCACCAGTTTTCCAAGTGACAGGACAGTTGTTGCAAGTCTTGGGTGTTTTTGCTGTCTTGCTTCAATATAAGCAGCTTTAAACAATGAGGAATCAATGCCAGCACGCCTTGTGTGTGTGAACTTACCTCTATTTTTGTGGGATAAAGAACAATTTATATCTGAGTTCACTATCCTGTCTGGCTGGCTAGAAAGGGCTAGCTCCTTACCCTCAGATTAATTGGAATATCTCTGTCTGTTAAGTGCCAATTCTATTCTTTTGGGAGATCTCAGGGTGTTTCAACAGCTTGTACTGGTTTCAGCATTTCTCTGGCATCAATTGAATTAATTTTTCACTTACACTGGGTTTCTTTAGACAGATATATAATCATTTAGGGTAAAAAAAAAACCTTTGGGGCCTATGAATTAATGAGGCTTTAGTATATTTTCATGGTGTAGCAGAAGGGGGATCTTTGCTGTCCTGCAGTTTTTCTTCACTTCATCTTTCCGATGTGTTAATATAGCAAACTTACTCCAAGTCCACAAAATAATCAGAATTGGTGCATTTTCACTATCAAACAAATACATAATAATAAAAAGCTTTAAAATGCTTTTTTGTTGGCTTCTTAGATAGCAATATCTGATGCCTAATTTTCATAAGCTGAACTCTCTCCTTGCTTTGCAGAGCAAGCTCAAGTTCCTTTGTGCTGCCTCTGGTGTCTGTGCTGCAATTCTGGCATTGTCAGATTTCTCTGGCCTTATGTTAAAGTCTTCTAAGTCCTTATATTGGCTGCTGCAATGGATCCCTTTGCTTGGAAAACTGTTGTGTTGGCAGTCCTTCCCCCACAGCCTTGTTCCATCCCAGGATTCCTGTGCCAGTAGAGCAGGCTGGAGGGAATGGGTTTTGTGTTTTTAACTACAGCAGCCAATTTTAACATCTAACTTTAGTTTACATCCCAGCAGCTGCTGGAAATCAGCACCTAAGTATTTCCAGATCTGGAACAAAGGTGTTTCTGTGCTTATAACCAAGCAAGCCAAGTAGATTTTGAAAAAGAAATGATTCCCCAGACAGCAGTACCTGGATTTTGTGGTACGGCTGACAAGCGAGTGTCGCGTGGTCACTTTGCTTTTGGCACTTGCTCTTAGGAAACCAAATCCCACTGCTAAACATTTCTTTCAGCTCCAAACTCTCCAGAGTGAAAATACCAACCTCAGAAGACAGGCCACAACCAATATCTATCAGGTGCAAAGTGGTTCTGAGTACCCAGACCCCAGCAGCAATTCCTCCCTAAAGCGGCGCCCGTCGGCCCGGGGCAGCAGGCCCATGTCCATGTACGAGACTGGCTCGGGGCAGAAGCCCTACCTGCCCATGGGGGAGGTCACCTACCCAGAGGAAAACATCACCAGGCTGCAGCCCTTCCCTCCACACGTGAGTAAAAGTGCTGCTGCTTCTGCACTGCCTCTCATCTTCAGCTTTGCTGTCTCTTCCGACGCCGCTCGTTCACTCTGCTTCTGCCTCAGAGGGGAAAAAAAAACCAGGGGGGATAAAACTGTGAGAATTGTTCATGTTTGCTGTATTAACATGTCTGCAGGAGCCTGATGGTTTGAAAAGCAGCTTATGTGTATATTTATATATATAAAATATCGATACGTGATTGTCTGAAAACCAGGAAGGGAGGGAGTATTCCAAGAAGGTAGGTAAAGTTCATGTAGTTCTGGAGAGAAACATGCAGGTATCAATTTGTGGAACTTCATAACCACCTTACAGAAATAAAATAAAATTGAAAAATTTTCTCCACACTACCAGTTTGTTATTCTGAATTTGGAACTGGAGGCTGGAGATGGTTTAGATCTGCCAGTCAAGCAGATTCTTCTGGTTTAGTGTTTTCCTGTGTGATGTGGAGAGGGAGTTCTCTGTTGACCAGAGGGATTTTGCACTTTGTAGAAGTGACCCAACACATACTAGTGCATTTAATTAATTAGCACAGTTAATTTTTCTTAGATTGTCCTGTGGGCTGGAATACAGAACAGTATCTTTTAGACACACATTGAAAATGTGTGGATTTTTGACAATATCTTTCCCTCTTAGTAGCAATGTCTTTTATTTCCTTCTAGTCAAATCATTAAAGCCTTTAAAATCTATTTTGGAGTTACCTTTGGCATGAGGGAGAGCAAATATTCTATGCACATTCCACAGAAGACAGTTGAATGCACCAAGGGAACCAATCCCCACCATCAATTAAATTAATTTGAGCTATGAAATCTGGATAATTTAAATTATATTGTCATGTTGATATGATGGCAGCAAGAAATGCCAGAATTCATTTGTGTGTGCAAAATGTGACAGAGCTTTGTATTGGTCCTTTGGTCATTTGGGTGGAAATTTGGATAGCAGTGGCAGTTCTGAAGCATTGATTTGTTTTGTGGAGTTAGTTAATTTGACATGTGGTGAATTTTTTTTTTTTTTTTTTTGTTCTCCATGGAATTTGGCACCTCTGGAATCTCAGAACTAGAATAAGCATGAATTCAATTGTATTTTGAAAGAATTAAGTCCCCTCAGCCTATGCCAGATTCTCAACATCATTCTTGCTTTGTGTCATCTCCATGCTTTTAAGAATGTTCCTTTGATTTCAGTTAAGAGTTTGTTTGTGTTTTGGTTTTGGTTTTTGTCTTTCCCGTTTTTAGATCGGGAGGAGTGCGTTTGTGACCTCCTCTTCATCTCTACCTTCCTTCCCCTCCACGCTCTCCTGGTCGAGGGATGAGAGCACACGAAGGGTTAAGTACCTTCCCCATCGGTCTTTTCCCTGGAGGAGGTGCCAATCTCCCCAGAAGTGCATCCTCTCTCTTCCCCCTCTCACTGCCTGGCCCTCCAGCCTGCATGGAGCAGAATTTCCTCCCTTCCATTCCTGCTGCCCCCAGCTCCGGGCTCTGCCTCTCTCTAACTTCACATCTCCAGCCTTTAACACCACACACAGTTCTCCAGGTCACTCCTTCAGCTGCACACCAGCCCCAAGACAAGCTGGCTGCTGTTTGGACACTGATTTTCCAGCCTCTCACTGATGTTTCTAAGGCAATGTACAACTCTCCTGCTGACTAAAAGCACTGCATGAGGCCCAGCTTCAAAGCTGCTTTCCTTGGGGGCCGGTGGCTTGCACCAATCCAGGTGGTTCTGATTGATTGTTTGCCTTACAGGTAACAAATTTGGGGGTTTAAATGGTTACTCTGTTCTCTCCCTTCCAGGATACAGATCCTGCTTTTTAATTCCTTCTGTTCCCATTTTATTTTGACTGTACCGTGTTTGGACATATTCGTTCAGAAAATATTAGATTTGCAAGTAAGGATAGAAGAAAAAACTTTCAAGGGAATATCCTGCTTGGCCAAATGGAAATCTGGGTTTGGCTGCAGTGTTGTCTGGTACTGAAAACTTGCACAGGGTTTGGTTGATTGTTTTTATTCTACACTGATTCTGTATTAGTGATTCCATAGTAGCTTCTTCTTGTAATTCATCACTGTTGTTTGTATTTCTGACCAGATGGTCGAGCTTTGCCACTGTTAGGATTGTTGTCTCTGTACACCTGGGAGAGGGGAAAGGTCAGACAAAGGTCAGACTCTACATAAAATAGTTCCTCATCTTCAAAATACATTTCACTTTTACAACTGATCTTTACCAGCTGTCCTGAAAGAAGAGTGTTCAAAAAATGCTGGTTTTTCCTTCTGTGCAGAGTAAAATTGAAAAGGGGTTCCTAACTCCAGGTGCTTCACTTAAGAATTGATGGGTTTAACATCAGATGAGTGCTTAACAAATGTACTGAATCTCAGCCAGTGAAAACCAGTTCCTGGTCACATTTTTGGTCTGTCCTTGAGGCAGAAATATTATTTCATCAGCAGATTGGAGGTGTCCCTTACAGTTTAAACCTGGAGACTCCCTTATGATGACTTCAGGCTCTCTGTAAGATCCTCAGGGCTGGTTGTTGGGGCTGCTCTGGGATCAGAGTGACACCAGCATGGTGTATTTGACACCAGACACATCATGCTGGGCACCTGGGTGAAGCTTTGCAGTTTTTAGAATACTTGAGGAAGCAGATGTGTGGTGATCCTGGGGCCTGGCTGAGGATTTTCCCTCCAAGCTCATTTTGGTATCCCTTTCTTCATTCAGCCTTTTTTCTGGGATCAGCCTCCCACTTTGAAGTGAGCCTACAGAGCTCAATCCAGCCTCTGCTTCCCTGCATTCCTCCTGCTCTCATTTCAGCTTCCACTTTGGAATTGGCCCCTCTCCTCCTTTTGACACTTCTTCTGTGGCCCTCTACTCTCATGGTTGGCTTCCTGCCCTTGTTGCATCCAGAACTCTCACTTCTTTGGTCTTCCACCTCTGTGCCAGTGTTAAGCATTCAAGGGGCCTCAGTTCCTCACACTTTGGCCTCCCACCCTGTTTTGGGCTTCACTTTGCAATGGTCTTTAACCCCTCTGGCCCCAAATTGTGATGAGCTCCAGGTCTCATCAGTCCCATCCATGCCCTCAGACCCAAACCTGCAGTTTGGGTTCCCCCATCTCTGTCTCCTGTCTTTATTTTGGCTTTCCAGTTGCCACAGTCTTCAGGCCTTGTTTTGGGCTCCCATTTTGCAGTGGCCTTCCCACTCTGCATTCAGCCTCCCCATTGTGGTCTCTGGCCTCTGCTCTGCTCTTGGTCTGGCCTCTTTTTCTCTGGGGTTCTCTCCCTCTCCAGTGGTTCTTATTCATTCTTCAGGCTCCTGTTTCATGGTGCTGCTTCTCCATTTGGCCTCAGCTCCTGGTGGCCTCTCAGAGTTGTATCCCTGGGGCAGTTTCAGTGGCAGGGAAGGATGCTGTGCTCTGTCTGTCTGTCTGTCTGTCTGTCCTGCTGTGCTGGGTGTCCAGGGGCTGTGCTGGCAGTGCCCAGGGCTTTGGGTACCAGCTGAGCAGCAGCCTGGCATGGAGAGAGGGGCACAGCAGCTCCAGGGTAATTCAGGAGCTGCTGTGCAAGGAGCAAATCCCCATGCACAGCACATGGCTCTGGCCCAGCCCAGAGCTGCTCTTTCCTGAAGTAAATCTGTTCCTTGCAGGCTTCCAAGCTGGAGAAGCAGAGCAGCGTGTCTGAGAGTGACTATGACAACCCCACCACCCCTGTGGAGCTGGAGGAGCCAGGGTAGGTGCTGTGACACTGCTGGGGGTGACAGGGCACTGCTGTGTCCCCATGCCCAGCCCTGCTCTGCTCCCTGCAGGTCGGGCAGGAAGGGCAGGCAGCGCAGCGTGGTGTGGCAGGGGGAGGGCTCCATCCCTGAGGACACAGACCCAGCCCCCAGCTCCAGTCTGCCCAGTACAGAAGATGTGATCAGGAAGACAGAACAGATCACCAAGAACATCCAGGAGCTGCTGCGAGCGGCGCAGGAGAACAAACATGACAGGTAAGGAGGGAGGGCTGGAAAAGCTCTGCAGAAAACAAAGGATGAGAAAACAAAGGGAATTCTTCAGGTGTTTTCACCTCTAGCACAGGTGAATGTGAAATACAGCCCTGCTATTTCACACCTGTAAAATGTGTAGGTGTGTGGTGTTCTCTGGTGTCCTCAGTGCCACAGGGCAGACTGGGGACAAGTGACCAGCCCCTTGTGAGCGGGTCTTGGCTGCAGTGCTGCCTGCCCTTAACTTGAGTCCTGCAAAACCAGGCTTGCAATAGGCACAAATCAAATGTGTTGTAGAAAACTCAGTGCAAGTTTTTCTTGGGTCTTCACCCCTCTATGTCCATAGGTAGTTACACCCTGCAGAGTAACACCAAGTCTTGCTTCAGGAGCAAATTGTGAAAAAGAGAGAATTTGGCTTTCCTATTGAGGTATTAGTACAAATTTTGTAGCAGCAAGAGTATTTTGAACTATTGGTTTTAGATACAGAGCCAGCTGAGTAAGCAGAGCACTGCCTGAGCCCATCAGGCTGCAGCAGCTTCAGGGAAATTCTGGTCCACCTGAACAATTTCCATAACAGCTGTGGCTGACTAAAAATGATCTACCCTTGCTGATCATCAGGTGCTGCTCCCCACACAGCTCTTTTAGAAGGCTGTAAATTAAAGGTGTGAGCACATGTTGGGGCTGGAACACTCTGGGCTCCACAGACCTGGCCTTGCGGGCTGGGTCTGGCTGTGCTGTGGCCCCAGCTCGGTGCCCTCTGTGCCTGGGAGGAGCAGCAGAGGTTTGTGTTGAGCCCTCACTTCCTGACTCGCTCAGAGAAGTGAACAACAATGGGGCCACTTTTGTTCTGTGTTTTTTCCTTCTTGTACTTTGCTATTTTTAGCAGGGCTGGCGTGGCCTCTCCTTCTCACCCGAGTGACGACTTCTGCCGTGTTTGTGCTGAGCTCTTTGCCCTTGGTGTAACCTTTTCAGTGCAGCCTCTTGGTGCTTGTTTCACACAGAGAAGCTTTAAATGAGTGTAATTTTAATGTATATCACACTATACAGTTGTGAATTCTTTTAAAAATCATTGAAGGAAACAATGCAGCATACCTGGCTTTTGTTGTTGAATTGATCAGGTTTTTTTAAAGCCTGTTATGCTGCATTTTTGTTTTCTGTACCACACGTGGAGTGAGGTGTTTGCCTATGCTTAGATGAGTGTTGTCTTGTAAAACACTGAACTAGGAAGCTGCTGTTGTTTGTTTTCCTCTTCCCTGGTTTCCTTAACACAGGAGATTGCTTCCTTACCAAAATGAGACACTTGAGGATGTAATAACACATCCTCCGAGTTCATGCTGGGAACGCAGAGAAAAATCACATGGAGAGTAAAAAAAACACAATGCAAGAGTATCATCTGTTAATGAAACCCCTTCTTCCTTTTGTTTCCCACTCTCTCCCACCCCTCTCCCTGTGCTCCCTGGGCTCAGCAGGCCCTTGGAGCGTGGGGGCCCAGCTCAGACCCAGCTCAGACCCAGCCTCGGCCCTGAGCGAGCGCCCCTGCAGCCTCAGAGCAGCCAGCAGCCCGGCCCTGCCTCCTGGTACTCTGGCCTCTGTCCCTGCCTCCCAGGCACAGTGTCCTTTCTCCTTCTCTCTGCTGCCTCTGTCCCTCCCTCTCTGGCTGCACGGGGGTCGTGGAAGGCGATGCATGAAATGCTGCAGGGTTGGGGAGCTGCAGGCAGCCCCTGCAGGCCAGGGCTGTGGCACAGCCCCTTCAGCTCCCAGGAGGGAGCAGAACCACAGCCTGGAGCTGCAGCTGGCTCTGGTGGATTCTCCTGGCTCTGATTTTTTATTGCCTGTCAAGATAAATTAAATTGCAGCTTGGTTGGTTCATGGAATCACAGAATAGTTGGGGTTAGAAGGGACCTTAGAGCCCACCTTGTTCCACCTCCTTCTGCTATCCCAAGTTGCTCCAAGCCCCATCCAGCCTGGCCTTGGACACTTCCAGGGATGGGACAGCCACACCTTCTCTGTGCCAGGCCCTCCTCACCTTCACAGGGAAGAATTTCTTCCTTTAGGAAGAAATCTTTGAGGTTTGAAGGTCCCTTCCAACCCAAACCATTCCATGATTTTGCGCGTGGTTGCTGCTTCTCAGCACCATTGCAGAAGTAGCAGGAGTTTCACATTTCCAAGGTGGAACATTCACACCTGACAGCTGAGGCCCCTCAGTGTTTATACAGCTGGGGGTCAAATGAGATCATTTGTATCCCAAATCCATTTTAATAAAGTGTGTTTATATGGTATCTTCCAACCCGACCAAAACATTGTTAGTGCCTAAAATAAAAGTGACATTTGCAAGAGAGGCTCTTTAAAACAGAACTGCCCAGGTTCAAACCCCAGCCAACAAATGTCAGAATTAGAGGAAGAGATTAACACAATTTACTGCTAATGAGGGATTCCTTTCCCAAGCTGTCACTACTTGAATATCTTCCTGATGTCTCACTGGAGTGTGTGTAAACCCAACACAGTGCCAGAGCCTCTCACAGCGAGTGTTTAGACATTAAACTAAAGCCATTCCTCCAGGCCACACTGGAAATTTAGCAGCTGACCTGGAGAACATACAGTGAAACACCTGAGTGTCACATTCAGGTTATTCTCAGGGCTTTCTCTGCCTTGTTAGTGAAGGGTTTAATCAGTGAATTGACTTTTTAATGAGGTAGGGTGCTGATCACTGTGGCTGCAGGGAGCAGATTAATCATTAACTCCACAGCAGAAAGGGAATTGTGAACTTGGAAGACCTCTCTCCACTTTTAGTTTATTTGGGAGAACTCATGTGACTTGAGACACATGGAAATACTCCTTTTGAAGCAATTTTCCTGCATTGCCAAAATGACCCCGGTGTGTTGCTTTTCTCTCAGTGCATTTGCAAGTGAATGATTTTTTTGCACCTTTGGTGTTGCAAGAAGATCAAACAAAAAATGACTGGGGGGGGATGAATTTGGGGGCTCTTTTTGCTTGAAAAGGCACTGGCCTACCATAACCCACACATGCTGAATAGTTTTCTTGAATGCTTTGTGAGTTTTGAGATTCTTTTGCTTAAGATTGGATCATGTGAACTAACTTATGCTAAAATTGAGTTTTTGAAGCATAAAAGTGAGTCTTTTGAAATGAGACTTGTGAGAGAGCACACTAACACTTCACTATTCACAGCAGTCGATGGGAAATAGTTCTATTTTGAACAACCCAGTTTTCATTTGGTATATAAATCAGAAGTGAAATCTGTGAGGATTCATGGAATCTGTTTTGTTTTATTAAATAACTCATCAGAATTAGTGAATATGTAGAATTCACAGACTGTGAAAGCAGTTGGTAGTTTGGGTATGCATGTGTGTGAGAATTTGCCTTGTCTGTTTTACTGGGTGTTAATTAACCCAAGAAGGCATCTTGGTGTTCTGGAGTTGCACACAAATGGAGACTTTCCTAACAAAGTTTTATATAATTATAAAGTATGGACAATTATTCCTTCAAACCAACTCCGAAAAACAACGAAAATCTAAGAAATAATTTTGCACTGTTGGTTAAGCTCTTGCTTTTTCTGAAGTCACATGGTTGTTTTTAGAATAACAATCACTGAGCAGTGAAGAGGAGGAGGGAAGGGGGTCTCTACACAATGAATAAATAACCCAGGGCATCTTTCTGCAGCTATATACCGTGCTCCGAGAGAATACATGTGGCAGTGACAGAGATGGCAGCCTTGTTCCCAAAAGTAAGTACCTGCCACCATCACAATGGTTTTGACCTCATTCTTGATGTGTAATTCCCCTTCAGAATGAAAATCAAAAATTATTTCATTTCAAAATGAAAACTGTAGGGAGAAATGAGGGGTTATGATGCACCTTTGTATTTATTAGCATGGCAACTGGTAAAGGCTGAAGTGGGAGTCCAGGCATTTAATTGAATGTAAAACTCTTTAAGAATTGTACAAAACTGGATCTGGCATGAAGAGTTGTGTGGTTATATGGGAATTTCACCAGACTCATCACCCCCTTTTCCATCTGAGTGCCATCACCTGGATTTCTTTCCTGCAGTCACGTTTAGATCTGTTATCCACCCATCAAAGTGATCTGTTTGGAGGGGTGGGTAAAGACTTTACAAGAACTTGGTCATGGGAATTTAGGGACTGAAATCCCCATGACCAAGTTCTTGTAAAGTCTTTACCTGTGACCATGGTCACAAAGGTTTGCAGGTGAAGAGAGAGGCAAGAATGTTGATTTCATGATCAGAAGGCTTGATTTATTTTTCCATGATATATATATATATATAATTATAACTATACTAAAAAGAAAAGGAAGGAAAAGTTCTCAGAAGGCTAGCTTGGAATGGGATGGAAATGGGATGGAATGGGATGGAATGGAATAGAATAGAATAGAATAGAATAGAATAGAATAGAATAGAATAGAATAGAATAGAATACAAAACAAAACAAAGATCTGTGTCTTGGCAGAGAGCAAGAGCCAGCTCTGCCGTGAGTGGTCAGTAAATCCAAACATCTACAGGAGACCAATCACAGATCCACCTGTTGCATTCCACAGCAGCAGATAACCATTGTTTACATTTGTTGATGAAACTTCTCAGATTCAGCAGGAAAAATCCTAAGAAAGGATTTTAATGAAAAGCTGTCTGTGACATTTACCCACCTCTCCAAAACTGCAAGGAAAGAGCCACGGCTGCTCCCATCATCCTGGACATGCTGTGACAAGGCGTGGGCTGGGACAGTAAACAGCCACCCGAAATGTGCATGAGTAACTTCCTAAGGCCGGGCACACAGCAATATCCCTGCCTGCTGCCTGGCAGCCCTTGGGCATCTCCCGAGAGGGGAGAGAGAGAGAAATTCCGCCCGCTGCCAGGAGGGGAATCAGGGCTCGGCCGCATCACAGCACCCTTGTGAGCACTGCCGGCTAATGAAAAGCTTGTGTCGTTGTGCCTGTTGCAGCGTCTGTTTTTCCCTTCGCAGAAGCCCAAGTCGGAGCTGGTGAGGACTTCGCTGCGGCTGCTGACGTCCAGCGCCTACAGGCTGCAGTCGGAGTGCAGGAAGGCGCTGCCCGCCGAGCCCAGCCCCGCGCCCGACATGCAGCTGGTGACACAGCAGGTCATCCAGTGCGCCTACGACATCGCCAAGGCGGCCAAGCAGCTGGTCACCATCACAACCAAAGAGAACAACAACTGAGCCACCCGGCGGTTTTTACTCTGGGGCTTTTTTTTAAGGTTGGATTTCAACATCTAGGTGCGGAACTATGCGCATTTTTACGAGGAAAAAAAAAACTTCAAGGGGCAAGAAACGTTTTTTTTTTTTTTTTTTTAAACTCAGTATTATTTTTTGCATGTTTTCTAACAATTTTATGATTAATTTAACCCACTGCCTTATTTTGTGCCTGTGTTGCCAGTGTAGTTATGGATAATAGCATGTTGCAAGTAGCTGTCGAGCCACTCTCATGTCCCAGCGCTGTAGATGTTTCCTTGGGGCCACGTTCTGCTTTCAGATCCTGCTCTGACACCACTGCAGCATCTCCATCCCTCTGGAGCCTCCCCATGCTGGGATCCTGCTGGCTGAGGCTCCCCAGGCTCCAGGAACTGCTCCTAGCAGGAAGAAGGTTTGTCCTGGTAACGGGGTGCAAGCCCAACGTTCTCTGTTCCCATATCAACTGTTGTGCAATATGTTTTTTCTTTTTTTTTAGTCTGCTAAACCAGTAGTAGTTGTGGGCATCCAAGCTTGTTACGTGTAACTCTACAAGGTCTTTGTCACTTTATGTTTTGGAAGGAATTTGAAACTCAATAGTTATTTCTTTTAGTTGTCACTATGCCATTAATATATATGTTTGATGTTATTTTAGGGCATTAGTGGTTAAAATATTATCCTTTGTTTCTGAGTTAGTAATTCATTGTTAAGTTTCCTGCAGAATTTTCCTGTCATCTTTGAGGTCTTGTTTGCAGCAGCATTTCTCAGTAACTCCAGATGCAATTTCACTAAAGATTTCTGTGCTTATTAACAAAAAAAAGGAAGTTAGAAGAGTGCCAGTGCAAAAGCAGCTGTGTCTGCCACAGCACATAACCTCTGTACCTCAACATATCCAAATGTGAACACATTTCTCGTATCTCCTTTAAGTTTTTTATGCAAATATTTCAAAATTTGACAACTTGCTGAGTATCCCCTGCCAGGCTGCCTGGCCCCAGTGGCCATGTGTGTTCTAGGTTTCTTCATCCATAACAGTTCACAGGAGTGTGTCACTCCATAATTTAAAAATTGAGAATATTTTTGGGAGTCTGAATTTGAGGTGGTGCAGGAAATCACTGATTTTTGCCTCTGTCCCATTTGGAATTGTGTTGTCCCTGCCCAGGAGCCAGCCATGGTGTGTTTGTGTGGAATCCACAGCACTGCTGGATTCCTGGTGCTGTCTGGCTCCCAGAGTCTGAGGGAGGGAAGGAATGGAGAGAGGAGATGACAGCCCAGTAAATTAATGTTCTTCATTGTGGTGTTTCATTTCCTTTCTGCCCTTCTGAACCCCAGAAGCAGCTCTAGCCTGACAGCAGAGGCAGGCTGGGATTAAAACTGCAAATGACCTTTGTGAAACCTACTTCAAAATCATGCAACTGGCAATTAATTAAACACATTGAGAATCTTCTAGGAACTTTTCCTTAAATAATGTCTGAAAAGGCAGCAGATGGTATTTTCCAGTCTCCCAGGACACCACTGTGTGCTGTTCTTTAACATATCTTACCTGCTTTCCAAAGCAGGGTGACACTGAGCTATGGTGTAATTTATCCCTTATTTAAACCTGCCTTTGATCCAAAACCAGGGGACACTTTAGTAACTGCCAGCCCCTGCTCCAGCTACACTGAAATCAGAGTGGTCCACACCCCACAGGAACCCCCAGCAGCAAGTTCGTGAACCCTCCACTCACAGCACTGCAGTCACCGAGTTTGCAGCACCTCAAGTAACAAAGGTGTGTTTTTCTTTTAGGCCTAGATCTCTTGTTCCCCTGTAAACAAACTTGCTCTTCCTTCACAAAATGCTGCAGAGGAAAGGAAAAGCTTCTTTTGCCTTTTTCCAAACCTTGTATTTATCAGTGTCGTTCTGTCTGTACAATATTTTGACTTTTAATCTTTTGTTTACAGTATTACTATAAAATGCTAAAACCCTTTCAGTGTGTGAAATAATGTGGGCTTATTTGACTGCTGGTTCTCTAAAGATCTCTGGAAAGGTTTCTACTCTTGAGGAAAGTGCTGCCAGTCTTTGTAACAGCTCCTTGTGCACTGTGACAGGACTGATGTCAGTCTGCAGTAGTGGATGGTAAGAGCAAGGAATGAACTGCAATAATCAACTCAATCTCCTCTCCTGTTGCTGCTGTAGGTTGCTCATGTAACAAAACCAAATCCTTGTTCAGGTTTCAATTATTCATTATTTATGAAACAAGTGAAAAACAATGGTTAAATCTCCAGCACCTTCTGGAGAGGAAGTGGACAAGCACTGCTGCCCCAGCACACATGATCTGACTGATTTGCAATGTACATTATTAATTAACTCCTCACAGTCCAGTGAGAACCCAGGCACAGCCTGATTCTGCAAAGTGGGAGTCTGGCACAGCCCCACAGCTCCTCTTCCTGGGGAGACACAGATTCTTTGGTGGCTCAGGTCCACAGGGCCCTTGAATTTGCTGGGTTGCTTCAGCCTCTCATGCACTGAAATACACGAGCACAACTCCACAATGCCAAGTGAAGCAGTTCACTTCTTCACTTTTCTTATCTTCATTTTGGCCACAACTAAATGTTTTCAGAAATCTACTGAGTCAAGTCTTGATCTCACTGTAGGCTATTCCAGAAGCACCATTATTTCAGGAGTTCCTTGAGTCCTCAGAGTTTTCTCTCTGTAGTCTGGAGCTGCATCTCATGCTCATTCCTCAGGTCCAAGCTGCTCTTGGGTAACTGTAGAACTAATGGGGTCAAAACAAAGATCAGCACAAGTTCATGGGCTCTGGAATTAATCCACAAAAACTCTTGAACATTCACAGGAGCTGATGGGCTGGGCAGGGGCTTGAGGTAGGGTTACTTAAATTTGATTTTAGAGCCAGCAAAGCAGGACAGTCAACAAAAACACTGAGCAGGGGACTTGCACTGTACCAGCTGCAGTAATTCAGCCAATAAATCCCTTTCAGCACTGAGCAACATTTGAGGCATTAGCAACACATCTGCCTCAAAAATTCTTTAAGAGTTAGGGCCTAATATATAAATATCAGCAAAAAAGGAAAAGAGAGAAGTGTAGAGCTCTGTGAGGGGAAGTAACAGCCCAGTGTTGTGCCCTAGTACTAGGATGACTAAAGCAGATCAGAGACAAGGATGCTTCCAAGATGGGCTCATGTGTTGGGGTGACCCCTGTGCCAGGGTGACCCAGGTGTGACCTTACCCTGCTGTGCCAGCCCTGCTTGGCCTCCAGGTGCTGCTGGGCTGATCCCTGCTGCTGCTCCTCCTGTCCCAAGCTGTGCTCTGTGCCCTGTGCAGGGGAAATCGGGTGAGGTGGGGCAGCCTCAGCAGCCCGGTGTGCACTGGGGAGCTCAGCCTACCTGTGCCTGCAGCTCCCTCCTGTGGGCTCTCTGCTGCTCCTCCTCCTGCTCCTTGTCCTGACGAGTCCCTTCCTTGGCCTCCTCGAGTTCTTTGATCAGCTGCTCTCGATATTTAATGGATTCTTCTTGGGCCCTCCTGTTTAGCTCCATCTTCTCTTGGATCTGGCGCTGCCTGCCTGCAAGGACCTGTGCAAAGGGAGGGGATGGTTACACAGCTCCCAGGAAACACACCAGACAAGCAAAAAGATTCCACCCTGGTATGGAAGGTTCTAACTCTCCAGAGGGTGGTGGGTTACAAGTGGAATGATGGTTTCATTGAGCCAAGGAACATCATCAAGAGAGGTCATCACCTCACTCATCAGGCGATCTCTGGCCACCTTCTCTCTTTCCCATTCTTCTTCCCTCTTCTCCCATATTTTTTTTGCTTCTTCCCTAAAGGAGAGAGGAGGAATTATCTCTGAGGTTAACCCCCCTGTATACCCCACAGGTACAGACAAGCTATCCTGTGCTTTAGAGGAGACCTTGGGTTTCTCTTCAGGTTTATTCCCTGCCTGTTGGTGTGTCCATCCCACCTGTACCTCTCAGTGACCCCCTGACCTGGAACATCCAGCACACATGGACTCCTCAGGTGAGGTTCAGAGGTGGACAGACTCACCTGAAGATAGTCTCAAGCTCTGCTTCCCTCTCCTTTTCCAGCTGGAGCTGTTCCTCGATGACCTTCTTCATCCAGGCCACGTCTGCCACCACTCGTCCCCGCCGTGGGGTCTGCCAGCTCTGATCCTCCTCCTCTTTCTCCAGGAGGGCTGATAAGATTTGCCTGTCTGTCTCCTGGAGAAAAAACCATGGGATTAATTATCCAACAGCCTCCCAGCCTGTGTGCAGGGCTCCTCTAGGCATTACTGCTGAGTGTCAAGGGTGTGCTCAGCACGATGCTCCATCTGCTGCTTCCCTGTGAGCTTTGTGCTCCAGCCCTGTGCACAAGCTGGAAGGGGCCCCCTGATCTGTAGGAATCAGAGGCAGACACAAACCACACACAACAAGTTTTTTTCACCACACAGCATCTAGAAAGTACAAATGAATCTCTTACCAGCTCCTCCTGTACCTGCTGCGCTCGTCTCCTTAGCTGGACATCACACTGATGCTTCAGAAAGCGACTGAAGGAGGAAAAAAAGCAAAATTTAAAAAAAGAACAGTATCACACTGACTCTAAAGCACCACATCATTGTACAGCAGCAGTACATCTGTGACAATGAGGAACCTGCTACCAGAAACAAAAAGCAGTAACAGCACCAGTGCCTCTGCTCCTTGGCTGCTGTGGGCAAGTCCACCAAAACTCAGATATTTACATCCTACCACTGCCACCTGGAATATCTCCTGGTGCCCCAAGTACTGCTGTGGGCACAGGAACAGACTCTATCCAGAACAAGCTCCACTCGATGTCCTACCCAAGCTCTTTCTTCCTCCGCTGCTCTTCCATTTGTTTCCTTTCTTCCTCCAAATTCTCCAGCTCCCACTGCTGCTTTAATAAATTCTCTTGTTCCTTTTTCAGCTTTGTTGCCTAAAAAGGAAAACACAAACATCAAGAGAGAGTACAACATCCCAGAGAGCATGCTTGACCAGAGTTTGTACCCTGCTCTGCTC